AGGAATCCCCTTTGGGTTTTAAGCAACTCAAACCATGAGAAATTTCACACGAAGGGAGTAGCTGGAAACAGAATCACCGGCCTTTCCGTCACACCAAGATTTAGAGGGCAACAAAGTCCACCAGGAATTCCGGGGAGATGACAAGAGTGGCTAAGAAGAACCCATGTCTTGCATTAGAATATGTAGCAAAAAACTGAATTTTTGGGTTTTCGGTTTTTGTGGTAAGTGAAATCATAAAAGAAAGCATGTGGCTTTCACTGACTCTACATTTACTGCATGCATCTGTGCTCTGCAGAGTATTTAGTGCTTCATTTAGTGTTGCAGTGGGGAGGGGGAATGAAAAGACATCAGTGCTCAAGGGTTGCCGTGGAATGTGAGCTTTTGGGCACGTCTGGCATTTGGCAGAGCGCCATTTGCATGCCCATACGAAATTGTTGACGTTCATTAACGATAATATATTGATTTCACAGCTAGTTAACAACAATGGGGGTGTAGCTCATATGGTAGAGCGCTCGCTTCGCATGCGAGAGGCACGGGGTTCGATTCCCCGCACCTCCATATTTTTGTTTAAATTCTAGATTTTTTTTTTTCCCTAATTCTTTTCCAAAATTAAATTAAAGTTTTGGGGGTTTTAAGAACAGCCCAACATAGCCTAGTGCCACTCAAATTTGGGTTTTAATCATCTTAAATCACCAAAGCAAAACACGATTAACAAACACACACTTCGATCTGTATGGTCTCTCAGAATTTAGATTTACAATACAAACCAATGAACTAGTGTTTTTTTTTCTTCTGTGCTTTCGGTTGGCTCAATGACTTTGATTTTAAATATTGGAACTAGGTTTAAAACGAACATTGCGGGAATCAAAGATGGTGTGCAGAGACACCAACCAAACCATCATGCATCGATATCTTCGTTCCAAATTCTTCTTCGCCAACAAAGTACGGGCTCAAATGCGACAACAACTAACATTTGTTACTGTTCTTGCATCAAACGATAAGTGAATAGTCTAAAATTTATTATGAACCCAATCAAAATCATTGAAGCATCAACAACCAATGCGCACATCAATTGAAAGTTGAAACCAAAGAGACAGATACCAACTGGAAATAAAATTTAGACCCAACAAAACGGCCCAGTCAACAACTAATTGTCGAGCTTAAGATATGCTACATTATCATCTTAAATAAGAAAAGAGGAAAAGTAACAGCAACAAAGAAAAAGCTCTCCAGCTCCATATTTCTGACATCTTCATGGCCGATGCAAAATCAGATGCTTTCAACTTTCAGCGGTACTGCAATGAATATACAACCAACACAGAATTAATATCATTTCAAATTCAACACATTGCAAATACATACACAAACTAATAACAAGCCAAAGAACTGTATGGAATTATAGATGCTAATAATTGATCTGCTACATGATCTCTGTACATTGAAATTCAAATTCAAGACATTGGCAGGCATACATACATACATACACAAACTAATAACAAGCAAAAAAGCTGTATAGAACTACAGATAATAATGATTGGTCAAAATTAAAGATATGTATCTTCCATCAACAAATCAATCTGGTACATTTTCTCTGTACATTGAAATTTTTTACTTCAATTTATTTGGAGGATGGGATATTTATATGAGATACCAAAAACGGATACAGAACAAAAGTGACCAAAACATTCAAGCTGATGACAAGTGGATGTAGAATTGGACAAATCCATCTGAGTTGTAAAATTAACACCAACCCAGAACATTCAAGCTAAATTGTGACTTGAAATGGGGCAGGGAAACGAGTACAAAAGCGTATATCCTATACCATCCAAAGAGCACCAAAAATAACAAAATAAAGGGCATAAGGATTGGAATTTATACCTTGATGAAGCCGATTTCCTTGGCGTTGCTGCGGAAGCACTGCCTGCAGCACATCAAGGCGTACTTCCGGATCAACCCATGAGGGTTTCCACATACCCGGCTGTCCAAAGTAACAAACAAGTTTTCCACATTAGACATGTCCTTCACCAAAAAATCTTCAAAAGCCAAAAAACTAAAATCTGAGATGCTTCGTCATATAGAAGAACATAATATTTTACCAAAATGTTATAATGCTAACATTTTACTAATCGAGTGATTATGCTAATATTTTACTAATCAAGCGATTGTGCTAATATTTTACTAATCAAGCGATTGTGCTAATATTTTACCAATCAAGTGATACACAGTGATATTTTAGCAAAGTAATTTAGCATACATAATCTAAATCTCAAACAGGGAAATGCTGATTAAAAGAAAAATTCTACTAAGAGAAACAAGCCAAGATCAAACACTTGCAAAATATAAGAACGATTGAGGCTTAGATATGGGGAAGAAATTCATACCACGTACGGGAACCAGGCCCGTAGTTCTTCGGATGAGAGTTCCAAACGTTGGAATGGCCCATTTTGATTCTTGCTCGGTCGTCTTGGAAGGCCGCCTTCAACTTACTGCGTTGCCTCTGCAGCTGCAAGAAGACGATGGAGTTCTAAACCCTAATCCTATGACTGCCATTTTGTAAATTCTAGTTGCTTTTATAGGTCTAGGAATGAAACGCAGCGTTTTAGTCATTCTTGCCGCCTCCATGTAACGGGCCGTTTCATCCTCCAATCGGCACGTGATAGTCCCTTTTCTTTTCAAAATTACAGTATTTAAATTGTCAAAATTAAAATGAGATGGACCAAAATGAAAATTGAGTTAAACTACTAGAACAAAAATATATAATATGACTTTTTTTGCCTCGATGTCCTTTCATCATATACGTAATTTATAAGACGAAAACTAATAAGGGATCTTCTAATTTTATCCAAATTCATATTAGCCAGCTGAATTTTTCGCAACCAATTTAGCATTTTCAACTCTATGTTGTCAAGCATAACATAAATGTGTAACAACTTCATAGTATGTTGGAAAAAAAAATAAGGTTGGCAATATTGTTTGTTTAATTTACAAAGTGATATTTTAAACTACTTTAATATACAGGAAGAGAGATCAAATTCAAATAAAGAGGACGAGCACACTATTTTAGCCAATTGAGTTAACTCATGCAATGTTTTAGAACAATTTCAATCAATGTTTCAAAGGATCAAAACTAAAGTGTATTTTGTAAGGTAGATTTTTCAAATGGCAAAAAGTTGTAGAAAGAAAACATGCATGCTGCTGCTAAAATATAAAACTTTGAGAGCATGTCCACCCCAAAAGGCTAAGGCTAATGCTAAGGCAAAGCAAGGGCAGCTACTATTCACATGAATAGTGGCAGCCTAACCTTTTTTGGTTCCACCCCAAAAGGCTAGGGCAAGGGCAAGAAAAAAAAAAGATTTTATGCAACAAAATGTAAACAATTTAGAAATAAAAGAAATAAAATGATTATGCAAGAAAATAAATAAATATGAAAGAAAATAAAAACAATTTACAGATGCAAGAAAAAAAATTACAATTTACAAATATTGGAAGGAGAAGAGTTTGTATGAGGATTTGGTGTGAAAAGTGAATAAAATTGTTATGTATTTATAGAGAAAACATCCATAATTTGTTGGTATTTTTTTCAAAAATTTGAATTTTTTTTTCCATTTTTTTGAATTTTTTTTCGCTCGGTAACATCAGCGCCTATGGGCTTGAGCTCAGGCAGATCTTGCCCGAGCTGCTTGGCGCGTGCTGGAGGTCTAAACCCCTGCAAAGGGGCCTCTTACCTTGGCAAAAGGGCCTATGCTAGAGGTGGCCTGAGAGAAAAATATATGCACACATAAAATAAAGTTTATTTAATAATAGAAGAAGACATAAACCGTTGATATCTACATACGGACGGCTGACCGCCGAGACGATTGGAGAATAACAGAGACACCACCTAATATTTGGATCCCACAATTCTTTTCTTTTCTTTTTTCTTTAAATAAACCAAATTATATGTTCCACCTTAATTTCTAAACACAAAATTATGATGGGCATATTGATTTATATTTATATGTTTACGACATGGTGTTCAAAATTCAAAAGGCACGGCAAACAAAAGGCGTTCGTTTAAACCAATTTGATAAATTCGAGAAACGTTTCTTCTTGGAGCTTCCTCCCAATTGAATCGTCTCCGTCTTCTTCTCATTTGGGTTGAGCATCCTCCACATCACATGCACGTCATCGTACTCACAACTCCTTATATCATGTTGTAGCCTAGGTAGCCCTGTTCATATTAATCTCAAATCTTCATCAAACATAATCATAATCTTCATCAAACATAATCATACTTAATCATAATCTTCATCAAACATAATCATACTTAAATAATAATGACATGTTAATATATAATTACGTATATTTTTTATATATAGATCAATGTAATAATATATAGATCAATGTAATAAATTGCATCCAGTTGTGTAAAAGTTAATTTAATAAAGCATGCAGAGTTTGTGTTCGAATCTCTCATTTCCCAATATTACTTATGTCAAAAGGAAAAAAAAACATCAAATGACTTACCTGATTTTCGATTGCCGAGGCGGGTAGTGACCCGGCTACAAAATTTTCGCACCGGATACTTCATCTTTTGCGACCACCACTCCATTGGGACTGAATGAATCCAAATTAGGATCACAATATCTGCTTTAAAGAAATTAGATTTAAATTTGGAACCAAAATAAGATAATTTAGAGAAATTAGGATGGTGATGATATGATAATTGCAACTAATTAACTCACTCTTTTGTCTTATGTGGACCTCTCTCCTCTTGGAGAGAAGCTTCTTCTAATCTTCTATGGATGTCCCCTATCAACGATTTTCTGATTGCCTTCCTCAAATTGAATTAACTTCTTATTTTTTTGACTTTTGCCTAACTCGAAAAAATTATGACGCGATTATGTATTCTCATATTCTATCATCTGCCAGATGTCAGTTTACAGTTTGGGCTATGTCCGTATCCAACGCCTTTTGCTTTGGAGTGTATTTCTGTAACTCACTACCTTAATTTAAGGTGTATTGTGCCATATGTATTATAATAAATTTGTTTATTTATATAAAAAATAACAAATATTTAACATTGGAAAATAAGTTATGAAGAATATTTATTGTCAGTTTTGATTTGATGGGTTGTTGTTGTTGAGTTTTTTCATGTTCAAGGATCTTAATCGTCACTCTTATAGTATGCAGCTGTCTTAGCCGCACCACTACTCCATGCCCTCCACCATAGCCTTTGTTAACATTAAACCCATTTAGCCTATCATAATCTTAAGGCATTCACGGTGGGGGGTGTAAAAGTCACATTTACATTCCTTTTACACCTCCGGGGGTTGTAAATGTGGTTTTTGTTCAAACAGGGAAGATATAAATCTAAATATATATAATTGATTTTGCACACTTTTGTCTATATTTTCTCACATTTTCTCATGTAAGCTTCACCTGTAAGGGATGTAAAAAAAGGATGTACATATGCATCTAAATTTGCATCTCACGGTTGTGATGCAAATTTACAATCGTTTACACCTCTCAATTGCAGATGATTCCGATCACAAATAATGTATATTTAACATACACCTCATTATACAACTCCCCACTGAAGATGCTCTAACATTAAACCAATTTAGTCTATCTTAATGTTAAACCCAACCGCTAATCACCCTCACGAGGCTTTGGTTTTTGATGGGACTCACATAATTGAGCTCTTGATCATTTTTAAGTCAAATAGGAAAAATTATATTTTCCGGTATCCATGATGTAAAAATGCTTTGATAATAGAAGTGAGTGAGCATACACATTGGATTATAATCATTCGTGTCACATTTGTACCGCACAATTTCAATTATTATTTTTAATGAGTTACCTGCGTAAAACTTCCAAAGTTCAATTTATATTCAAGTCAGTACTCGATTTTGTAAGATCATAATTGTGCATTAAGTCCTTACAGGAAACCTCAACATCTTCCGATAGCTTCTTCCGCCTTGATAAACAAAGTCCGTTTGAACATCGAGCGTAACAAAATAAGACCAAACAATACAAAATGAAATAATAAAAAAAGATATCGCTGGTTGCTCTGCTAGGGCAACCTGGGTGTTGTTGATCGTCGCGCGAATAATAACAGAAAAAAGGAGAGGTCAACCGGGTAGCCATGTCCAGGGCTCGAGTCTACGCAGACATCAACGTCCACCGCCCTAGAGATTACTGGGATTACGAATCTCTCACGCTTCAATGGGGGTAAAAATAACAATTGAAATCAAAATATTTGATTTATTTGTCTTACTTTTACATGAATCGTTAATTGGCAATCTAGGGTAGATTATAGCTTTCTGGTTTGTGTTGTATGCTTTCAAATGCTTCAAATTGGTTGAAGGTGCAGAAAAATCCCAATTTGAAGGGAAAATGATAATGCTGTCTGTTCTATCTTTGCTGCATTGCATTGTTTTGTGTGTGCTGCAATTGAAGGTTCCAGGGTCGGGGTACTTGCTGCAGTTTGAATAATTGAATCAGATAAACTTGTTTTTGTGTTCCCTTGTCTATCAATGTAGCTAGAACCAACAAGTGATAGTTTGATTGTTGAGGCTTACCACTGGTTACTTGTTTGATTATTTTCATGGCATTGGACTGCATTTCTTGGAAGGAATCAGTGATTTTAGAGGTTTTTAAAAATTTTGTTGTTGTTTCTTTTGAGGTTTTCACCATGAATTTTTAAGGTGCATTTTCCCAACTATTTTTCTTATTTTTGCTTAATATTTTTCTTGCTCAGTGATCAAGATGACTACGAGGTTGTTCGGAAGGTTGGCAGAGGAAAATACAGTGAGGTCTTTGAAGGTGTAAATGTTACCAACAATGAAAAATGCGTTATCAAGATCCTTAAACCGGTGAAGAAAAAGAAGGTGTGTTTTATTAAAGTTGTTCCTGTACTTTTGGGATATAACTGTCATGCTGAAGAAAACTTCGAGTCTTGGTAATGATACGATGAACAAAAGTGCATGTATGTCAGAAGTTGTTTTATTTACATTTCCTTATATAATTTAATTGAAACATAGTAATGGTATTCATGCAGATAAAGAGGGAAATAAAGATACTACAGAATCTTTGTGGAGGTCCAAATATTGTGAAGCTGCTTGATATTGTCCGGGATGACCACTCAAAAACTCCTAGCTTGATCTTTGAATATGTGAACAGTGCAGATTTCAAAGTGTTGTACCCCACACTGACAGATTACGACATTCGCTACTATATATATGAACTTCTCAAGGTTTTGTATCCTGTTGCGAAACATTGATTTTTCTAACTAATTGTACCCCGGCCCGCCCTTTTCTCTTAATACTTGAATAACCCTGATGGTTGGTAGAGCTAATTAGAAATACAAAATTGTAAATTCTGTGTAACAGACACAGAGGTTGAATCCCATGATTCTGACCTGTACTGGTTTAGCTTTTGCATGACTGGCTAATTCAAAACTTATCTCGTGATTGCAGGCATTGGATTACTGCCATTCGCAGGGCATAATACATCGAGATGTCAAACCTCACAATGTTATGATCGATCATGAGCTGCGAAAACTTCGCTTGATTGATTGGGGTCTCGCTGAATTCTACCATCCTGGCAAAGAGTACAATGTCCGTGTAGCTTCAAGGTAGTATCTCTTTCATCGTTTAACTTTTTAACCAATCAATTGAATTGTTAGTTTTCATCTAGATTCTTAAAAGACATAATGACTCATCCTTTCTTTTTTTTTTTTTCCTCTACGGGTAAGACTTGGGTTGTATCAACCCAAACTTTGGACAACCCAGGCAATAATCTTTGATGAGTTGAGTAAATATGGACATAATTTCTTAATTTGAATAATAGTTGTAGGGACTCAGATAAACTAAGGATTTGATAGTTGAATAAGTTGTAAGGACTGTTAGCACGGTGCATGTGCAGCTATTTCTTAACAGTTATCAAATAGCACTTGCAGTGAAATTCAGTTTGTGACCAATAGATTCCATGGTGCCTGATGGCGAATAGGTTTATTAGTTACTTCCATGCTGACCTCCTACATTGTTAACATGCAAATCTTTGTTTTCTTAGCAGAAAGTTGATAAATTTAAATGCTGTTTATCAGGCACTATAAGGGGCCTGAACTCCTTGTTGATTTGCAAGACTATGACTATTCTTTAGACTTGTGGAGCCTTGGCTGTATGTTTGCAGGAATGGTGAGGGTTATGCTGCCCTGTTATTTCTGTGTATCCATTTATTTTGTAACAGCTACATTTTGTTCACCATGATAGACTTTTCTAAACAAGGTGTTCTCTTTCCTTGCAGATCTTTCGGAAGGAACAATTCTTCTATGGTCATGACAATCAGGACCAGCTAGTGAAAATTGCTAAGGTAATTTTGGTTTCATACTTTGCTTGAAGATCTTACAAGTATAGGCAATCTTTCACCTATATATCCTAATGCGTTTCAACCACCAAAACTAGTTCTTCATTGCACTGTCTAAAAGTCTTCTTAAGATTGTTTAGTTTTCCCTGTTGTCTGTGAGTTGATCATACATTTATTGTTATTTAGTTGTGAAACTGAGGTTTCATCAACGGCCAAATAGAAATTGAGTACTTATTAGCAATACAGCGCAAATGTTCACATAATTTGTTACCTTATGTAGATAACTTCTTCTTCAGGTTCTTGGAACAGACGAATTAAATGCATATTTGAATAAATATCACCTTGTCCTTGATCCTCAGCTCGATGCTCTTGTTGGAAGGTATATCTTCTCATCTTTAGCATGGAACCGGAACATAAACTTAGATGATCTTAGATGTGAGTGAACATTCTACTGCCATAACACAATAAAGTTATAAGGGGCTTGGTAGGGCTTCGGGGTATCAATCATTATGGTTGAAAGAATAAAACAGTGGCTTTAGGCCTCTGGTTCCTATGTAACCAAAAAAATGATATACATTGCTTTGTTTGTCTTTTCATTAGTTGTTTCTGGCATGATACTGACTTGGTATCCTTCCTGCTTTTGAATTCTGATTCAGGCACAGCAGGAAACCGTGGTCAAGATTTATCAATGTGGATAATCAACATCTGGTTTCTCCAGAGGTAATTTCTTCTTCTTCTTCTTCTTCTTCTCCCCAGAAACAAACTTTTAGAAGATTTACCTTATATTCACGTATTTGTCATTCCTTACTAGTGATTCTTTGGTCTTTTTCGTGATATCTAGGCCATTGATTTTCTAGATAAGCTTCTTCGATATGATCACCAGGAAAGGCTTACAGCAGGAGAAGCAATGGTATTATTTAAGATTTAGCAGCTGTTTCTTTTTCCCTCATGTGTGTTTAATATATATGTCAACATACACAATTGTTTAGATACAAAACCTTTAGTATTGTAATAAGATGCATATTATGTTTGATGGTTAAGCACGAAATAGAATTTTCACTGTTGGGTTCCTATATTCTATGTTTCAGGCACATCCATATTTCTCCCAAGTGAGAAGTGCAGAAAATAGCCGGATGCGGACTCAGTAACACTAGACTCCCACAGAATCTTTTGGTAAACAAGCTTGTATCCCCTTTTTCTTTGGCTGTAGTCTGTGTATGATCACAAACAAGAAAATATATTTACCTAGCTTAGGCTGTTCATTGCATCCATTTTTTCTGATATATATATATATATATATATTTTAAATGCTGGTATTCTTTCTTCTCTCCTCCAATTGCGTACTTGTAATTTTTACTAATTTCGATTTAGCAATTAATCAGAATGCAATGCAACAGTATTTCATTTGTCTCGAATTCTTTTTGCTTTGTTTGCGTATTTTAGATTCTGGATTATGCTGATCCATGTTCAAGTTTCAAATACAATCTTCGATTTAACAAACGTGCACATTTATTACATATTCGAGAAAAGCTTTAGCTAATTAAAATCCAAGAGTCTAGGAAGGACTATGCAGAAGAAGATTCGAGAGATGAAGCTTCAAACACTTTTCTACAGGTCCTTCTCATTTAGGATTGTTTTTCTCATTTCTGAAGGTGAGGGAAACATGTATAAACATCAGATTTGGGATGTTTTGCTTCTGCATGCTCCCTGCACTTCACCTCAGACGTGGTGCAAATAAAAACCTGCATGCACACCTTGCACTGCGATCATCAACCACCATCTTGTATCAGAAACGAAGCAAGTGTTCAAAGTACCAGAAATTTTTATGTCAAGTAGCTTCATCTACAATTTCATTCTCTTACGACAATCTCGCAGTCAAAAACAAAAAAAGGAGCTAGAAAGAGGACTACCTGTATTGTCATTGATTTCTTGTTTGACTCAAGCTGGCTTCCTGCTCACCCAAAGATACAGAAATTAATCACCAACTTATAAGTTCCCTTGTTTACAAAACTATATATATATATATGTCTCTGCTTGGTGGCTTAGAACTTAGAATTTAGAGTACCTTTGGCAGCAGCTTTTTGCTTCTCCATGTTCCTCTGGCGAGCCATCTTGGACTTCTGACCGTTGCCTCCTCCCATTGCTTGTCCTTCTTCTCTGAGTACTTGCAGGACAGGTTTGCTACTAGTAGCAGACAGAAGAAGCACAAGGCTTTAAGAATGGCCAAGAAATAGAGATGATGACGAGGTACATTATATAGATCACTCTCATCAATTAGGTATTGTTGGATCCAGGAGAGAAACCACACATATCCAAGGGCTACCAAGAAACTTCCCCTTGAGCCTTGAGGCCAATGAGGGCAGCTATAGATTGAGACATGAACACACAAACCACAGACTACACCAATGTGAAACGAACTTTTTATTTTTAATTTTCCACCAAGGTCTATAAGATGTTTCATTTAGAGTGACCCAACCAAACAAATTAATGGATGCCACACATAGTGGTATGTTCAGTAGTGATACTTGTACAGCTGGAGCTCACAACAATTTGTGGTGCCGATATACTTGGTAGTAGATGAAATAGTATTGTATATAAGTGGTGGACCCATGCTACCCAATACGGTGAAGCATCCATTGGAGCGTGCACAAGGCAATGCACACTACTCTTTTTCTTCAGTCATGAGTCATAGTTTAGGTGGTAGTTTGGAAGCTACAACAATACATTCAAGGCCAATTATGTTTTGGTCCCCTAGTTTTCTTTTGAATAATAGAAAAACGAGGATCTGAACTTGGATTTTTTTAAATATTTCATTGAGAAGTATTAGTAGATCAACAACTAGTTGATTTTGGTAATTGTAGTTTTAACACATTTGACTCCGTAGTTTCAATTTTTATAATTTGTATGTTTTCGATTTCAGAATTCTTCAACTGTAACAACTTTCCATTGTGAGACATTTCTTCACATTATCACACAAATAAATTATAAATAGAAAACCGCCCATTTACACTAGAGTTTGATTTCTCTCCTTGTATATTAAAGTAGTTTAGAATGTGGCTTTGTCAAAATAATAGAAGAGCGCCCAATTTATATGGATCAAAATCATAATTAACCATATATTGAATAGACAAGAAAAAAGGTACCAAAACAAGAGTCATTCTATAATTAGGGCCTTATATATGTCTTTTAGGTGAGGTCTTATCTCTTAATATTTAGATTATGTTAACCAAATTAATCCAACGGCTAGCCAATTTGATTTAAAAGTTGAGAGATAAGGCATCACCTAATGACCATATATAAGGCCATAATTATAGAATTCTTGACCAAAACAATCAATCACCCATTTGTGGGTTTTTGCAAGAAATTATGAACTCCTCGTGTGGACCTTTATATTAGCCACATGATCATTTCATTAAATTTAAGTGAAGTTACTGTTCAGATGACTCATACGGCTAATATGAAGGTCCATATCAATGGTCTATATATTACATCCTCTCTATAGAACGACTTGGGTTTTTGCTTACTTGGTCTTATTCGGAGGCCCAAACTAGTTCTCTTGACAAGAGAAGGCCCAATTTCAGAAGCCCAATAGAGTGACCTTGACAACATGTCAACTGATTGGCTGATTCCTTGAGTCCCAAAAATAAAAGTTCCAAAAAGTGAAAAGGATCCGAAAAAGGAAACCGGATACGTTGAGTGGGTTCCCTCCAAAGTCCAAAGTCCACGAAGCTGACCAGGACGTGCCAAAATCAAAACCCACAATGCACATGATTCCATCTACCGTCATTAAAACCTCAAACACCAACCAATCAATCACCGCCGTCACCAAATTGCATGGGACAGGATAAGAACGAAAAACGCTTCGCTAAAAAGACAAAATTGACCCCAGAAAAGGTCGAGCAGCTTCACAAGCACTGTAAAATAATGCATGCACAATTTGACCTTAACCAATACGGCGACGAAACGTGTCCATCGGAAAAAGTGACGCCAGGGCAAAGCAAAAAGAGAATAATTAAAACATCAGAATATGCTTCGCTCTGCTCTGCAAATATCCCTTTCTCTTTGCTCACCTATGATTATTTTTATTTTAATTTATTATGATCTCTCTTTTTTCCTCTATAAACTATTCAAACTCATCGCCATCGCTCTTTAATTTTATTTGGCTTTCGTTCTCCAATTCGTTTGTTCGAAGCGTTTTGGAGTTTTAGTCATCAATATGGAGCTCGTACAGGACCTGTTTTTGACGGCGTCTTTCGCGCTGATTCTCTCTTTCCTGGTTGCGAAGCTCGTTGCCATGGCGGTGGCTGGCCGTCAATCGGAAGCGGAGTTCAGAGAGTGTGAGAATGCCGGTGGAGGTGTTGTTTTGGAGGAGGTGAGTTTCGAAGAGAGGAGACTGAAAGTGGAAAAGGCTTTTCACGGCCAGAGGAGGGTTGAGTTCGTCGGAGAAGTGAAGGAGGTCGATCAATTTCAATTCGAAGACAAACCGGTTCATCGAGTTGAGGAAATTGAAGAACCACTGCAGCATCATGAAGAAGGTCGTGAATTGACGGAGAAGGTGTTGGAGGAAGAAGGTTTGGGAGGAGAAGAGTCGGTGGCCGTCGGATTGCCGGAAAATCCATCGGACGGCGAGGAGAAGGTGTCGGTTGAGAAAGCGAGAGACTTCGATCATCAAAACTTGGAGAACAGAGGAGTTGAAGAAATTGGCGCGGAATCAGCAACGAACGACGTCGTTACTGCACAATCTGAGGAGCTTAGTGCTGTGGCTTTCGATGAAGCAAAGGGAAAGGGCGAAGCGAATGAGATTAAACTGAAAGCTACCGACTTTGATCGTGAACGTGGCCACGAGGCTCAGCAAAGCTCGGAGAAGAGAGGAGTTGAAGAAATTAGCGCTGAATCAGCAACAAACGATGTCGTTTCTGCACAACCAGAGGAAGTTACGGCTGAGGCATACGTGGCCAGTGAGGTTAAATTCAACAATTACAGCGATGAAGATGATTGGGAAGGGATTGAGAAGAGTGAGTTGGATGATGATTTTACTGCTGCTGTGAAATTTGAAGGACGATGATCGCTTGGCAAATATTGGCGGTCGCGGTGTGCAGGTGGCGCTATATTGAACTTCGAAGGGGGCATTTGAACCTCAGCCTACGGCTCTCAACTCTTCTTCAGATTTGTGCCAAGTGGTACTAGACTTCCTGTTATTCTTCTCTGTTGATATAATTAGTTTGTGTAGCTATCCATATCTTTATGCTTGCTTTACTGGTGTCTCAATTCTAATATGGTGGAGATACAAAATGGTGAAATCAGAAAATGGTAATTTGAACCTAGATATCTTACACCTTACCATGAAAATATAAATGTAAATTGCTAGATTGGGGATTGAGAAAAACAAGAGTAAAATGTCAGGCATAAATCAATTGCATTATACTTGAACTATGGGAATTATTGTTTTGTCCAAAAGGTGTAAATTGAACTATGCGAACAAATGTTGTTAGAGATAAGATATTACTGAGAAATATGAGGTTTCATGTAAAGTTATATTAGAAACAGAGGGCCTGTTCATGTCGTTGTTGCTTCTTCTTATATACGTCGGCAATGTGCGTGACAAAAACTATAATCACATTAGCAACATACATTTTAATGATCTGCAATGTTTTTCAGAAACTTTGTGTTCTGTTTTACCTTCTTGACAGATAATCAGTTGAACTAGAGTGAGAAAAAGTAACCAAATGCAGGAAATGATATATTCAAATGTTTCGTGGATTGGATTGTTACAATTCCAACTAGTTTACAGTTTGCCATATGCTTTAAAATGGTCCTGCTCATTGCTTTTTAATTATCTTTGTGACTTATCCCTTGTCTTGCTTTTCTTATCTTGTATTCTCCCTAGTCTTTCATAAATCATGCCTCTCCACATCGATGTTTATTTAGCATATGAAAAATATAGAATGCAACATCTGAGCTTTAGTTGCTTAGCATTACATTGAAAGAGTCTTCAGTCTCCACCCTACGTGCACCCTTGACAGATCGCATATAACTTGGTTTAGTGTAAAAATTTCAGGCCACTTGATGACATCGTTGGTCTATATCTTGACCTTTCTAACCTCAGGTGCTATTGTCCTGGGTTTGATTAAATTTTCCAAAAAAGAAAAAAGGGAAAAGAAAAAAAAAAAAAAAATGAGAAGAAGAATAAGTCACTTTTATTCAGAAAAGAAACAAAAAGACAGAACAAAATCAGAGGTTATGATCTTAGGAGACCAGAACAACAGTGTGTCTTATACAACTAAATAGTAATGCTGTTCTGAAATTTGTACATGAATCAAAGAAAAACCTCTTCCTGGGTAAAGGAAAATCAATTGGCTTCGAAGGATACCCCTCTTCTTCACAGAATCTCTGTTATTTCTTTCCCTCTTATGTCTGTTGTGCATGTATGCGTGCATAGATAGATGTGCTTTATCTTTTGTTTCTTGGCACTGTCATTTGGTTGTTGTTAAAGTTAAATTATTCACATATAGTTTTACAATGTTTTTTGGTTGTATTTTCTCTGCAATTTTTCCTTAATATATTAGGTTTCTAATCGGTGAATTTTCTCATTGACCCTGGCATTACATGAGTTGTCATAGGAGTTGTCGTAGTTATTGTCATAGGAGTTGTCATGGTTATTGTTGGGCACACAATTGGTGGCATGTATGGAATATTTGTCGTTCTGTCCTGTCTCTGCGCTTAAGATAAACAGCACACCTGTACACAAACCAAGCTAAGTGTATCAGAAGAAGTAACTTCTATACTACTGATGTAAAGGGCAAATACTTTAATTTATTTCATAACAGAGTTACAGCATGGAAAATTAAAGAGCTACAGAACCGAAGTAGAGAGGTTTTATTTTATTTTATTTTATTTCTTTCTTGTCATCTAAGGCATTGCTGGAAAAGAGTTATCTGATTTTAGTAAAATCAGTGAAGATTTTCATGGACCTAATTCATCTTCTCATCATGACCATATCCTCCACCACCCCCGCCTACCCCACCACCACCATAACCTGGGCCTGTGCCCGAGCCTCCACCAAACCCACCACCTCCTCCAACACCATTACCAAATCCGCCACCATTGCCACCATTGCCACCATTGCCACCATTACCACCATACCCAACACCACTTCCAAAGCCACCACTGCCATCACCATAGCCTCCGCCTTTACCACCACCAGTGCCACCATTGCCTGTACCACTCCCACCACCACCAAAACCATAACCAGGCCCTGCTCCGTAACCATCAGCTGTTAGCCCTCGATAAGTTGCCTCTTTACCGTGCCAATTCTTTAACCCATTGTCCAAATCAAGTCTCTTGTCTCTCAGATCTATCAGAGACCTCCCTTCTCTGGTGGCTTGAACAGATACATAACTGAAAAGCCCCATAGCCAAGAAAATGAGACTCCATGAAACTACATTACTCCTTGCCATGACTTCTCCTTCAGATTGCAACTTTACCTTTAAAAAGAGGAGATATTAGGTCAGTATTACAACAAAACGAGAGAGAGAGAGAGAGAGAGAGGGGAGCCTAGCTTAAAATCGTGGCACAAAAATGAGAGGCAGGGGTTCTGTATCGGGGGTCCCTAGATTTATAAGGTTGTTCTTGTTTCATAGGGTATGGGTTTCTAAGAGGTGCGCAGCAGATTGGCGGGGAAGGTAGCTTGCAAGGTTGGTGTGATTAGATGACTCGTGCCAGTGAGTCTGGTGTTGAGGGCGATTTGCATGACCACAAGGGTGCAAAGTTGCTGCATCACCTTCGCTTGCACATTTATTGGGCTTAGTTTGCAATGGGCTCTTAGCCATTCAATTTCTTTCCTAGAGTTCCAAAACCAACCAACGGAACAAAGGCTTGGGATTTCATGTTCAATAACCAGGAAAGAAGGGGTAGAAGGCTAAGGACAGAGAGAGAAAATGGGCCGGAGATTAAGATATGATAAAATTAGATACTGTTGTTAAAATAATAACTTGGCAATAAAAAATAAACAATGAGATTCAATTAGTTTCTTTCTTTTAAGAAAAGGGAAAAGTTTAGGTATGCCCCTTGAATTTTCGCTCATATTTAACATTGAATTTTTAATATTTTCTGTTATTTGGAATTTAGATGAGCTTGATGGTGTTGAGCGCAGAAAAAGACAATAGAGAGAGAAAAAAATAAAGAATAGATTAGCAGAGTAGATTAAAAGGAATCCAATCTGAATAATGTAGAACACCGCGGGAAACATAATTCCCGGAGGAGGATTGCTGAATTTTTCTGGAAAAAAAGAAAAGAAAAAGGATATGAGTGATGGCCGACAGTTCTGACTCTGAGGGTCGTATTGCGTTGAAAGTGAGGTATTAAATTCCTGTACCCCGTCAAAATGCAAACTGACCAACCCTCTATTTCATGGGCCCTACAGGTTGGGAAACTTTGGTTAGATGTCAAATCTAACGTGTAGGCAGAAGTCAGCTTGGAAAAAACTACAAAAACCACCTCAAGCTGACTTGGCCTCCACATTAAATTTGACGTCTCCTTAAGAAAGAATAAAAGCTAAATAGACAAAATCAAATCACGGGGCCTGAATTATGATAAGGGAGTTTCACTAAAACACCTAAAATAGAGGCTTAAATTATAAAAAAACTCAAATACTATTTAAATATATAAACACACCCAAAACACATCATTACATATACTCAAAATCCATTTATAAACACACTCAAAAAGTTGACTTTGAGGTTGATTTTGGGTGTGTTTCTATATTTAAATAATGCTTGGGTTTTTCTATAAATACATGTCTAAGATTGAGTTTATTTATAAATTTGTATTATGGTAATTAGGCCTTTTCTTTTTGCCTTTTTAGTACAAATAATAGTCTAAATTATAGAAGAAGAGATTTCTCATACACACATACACAACTAATATAATGAGAGTTCGAATATGAATGCAAGGGAATGGACCCACGATCCTTACTAAAAGGACTAACTTTACATTTTGCCTGGTTGGTTTGAAATCAAGTAAGAATGCCAATCAATGGCCCCATTATTTTAGCTGCCTTATAGCGACAACAAATATATATGTATTTTTTTTTTACTTTTATATAAACGATAATTTAATTGTTCTAAATTAATTTAATATATAAGAAGGGAAATTCAAATTTAAATACAAGAGAATGGACTCACAGTCCTTACTAAAAGGCGCCACATATGCTATAATTGCATATTCTAAAGCTTAACACTAATTACATGTTTTATTCACTTGCCTTTCCCTCCCTTTACATCATTCGATGAGGAGTGTAATTCACCCTCTCATTATTTGTCACATGTGACGCTGCACTTTATTATGATTAATTTCATATAATATGCATAAATTTAACCATATTATTTTCCTTCTTAATATGAAGGATAATCATAAATAATGTGTAGCACAGAGGATATATATTTTGATAAAAATACGATAAAATTTTATTAGATCAATAAGAATAAAGAGTGTAAAGGGAGCCAAATACAGATTTGAGGAGCTAATTATTGAAAAGGAGTTTGGATTTACTGCTATAAATATTAATAGGTGTCCATTCTAATCGGAAAAGACAATTCAACATACATAAGATAAGCAATCAAATAAGAATTGACTTATTAAGACCCGCTTCAAATTATTTTTAGCGTCTTTCTTTGGGTGGGAGAAAATGACATTCGAGCGACAAATTGCACAATTGTTTTATGCATGCATGTGGCTGCTGCTTTCGGCCAGTAAGCTTTTGCCTATCATTATATAATTTGAGATTATCATATTATTAAACTTGTAATTTTAGATTAATAGAATGCATGTAGACGGCTTTATTATATTTATAAATATATTGAAAGCATCCATAACATTTAGTGATGAATGATGGGAACAATTGAAGCCGGCACGGCAAACAATCGAACCGAAAACGAGGGGCCACAAAGTAAGATACCATAAGCAATTTAGATTGGTGATTCTTCAAGAACTCAAAAACCATTGCTTGCTTGCTTGCATATAGAAAAAAATAAATAAAACATTGTATGATCTCTCACACCCACACACTCTCTGTTATATTGCTTCCCCATCGCCAGTTTGCCAGCTTAAAATCATGATATTTTAAACTGATAAAACAAAGTTCACATATCTTTCACACGTTTTCTTCTTTCTTAAATTTTCATATAATGGTAAGTAAGTAAACTTTTCTTTTTATAAGCGATGATTTAAACTGCAAATCAATGTCATTTTTCAATAGGCTAGACTTGTTGGCGGCAAGTAAGTAAACTTAAAGATAAATAAACCTAAACAACAAAAAGATGGGAGATTCTAGAAGAAGAAGAAGAAGGCGATTTCAATATTTTATGTGGGTAATCTAACCCTTAATCCATGTTTATCACTAATGAACTAACTACTTAAAAAAATGTGAAATGTTCTAAATAAAAACTCACCCACTGCTAAAAACAAAAGCAATAGAAAGAATCAACCAGACACTCGATCA